GGTGAGTGTGTCCTCGACCCCGGTGAGTGTGTCCTCGACCCCGGTGAGTGTGTCCTCGACCCCGGTGAGTGTGTCCTCGACCCCGGTGAGTGTGTCCCCGACCCCGGTGAGTGTGTCCCCGACCCCGGTGAGTGTGTCCTCGACCCCGGTGAGTGTGTCCTCGTCCTCAGACCCGTCCTCGACCCCGGTGAGTGTGTCCTTGTCCCCGGTGAGTGTGTCCGACCCCGGTGAGTGTGTCCTCGACCCCGGTGAGTGTGTCCTCGACCCCGGTGAGTGTGTCCTCGACCCCGGTGAGTGTGTCCTCGACCCCGGTGAGTGTGTCCTCGACCCCGGTGAGTGTGTCCTCGACCCCGGTGAGTGTGTCCTCGACCCCGGTGAGTGTGTCCTCGACCCCGGTGAGTGTGTCCTCCACCCCGGTGAGTGTGTCCTCCACCCCGGTGAGTGTGTCCTCGACCCCGGTGAGTGTGTCCTCCACCCCGGTGAGTGTGTCCTCGACCCCGGTGAGTGTGTCCTCGACCCCGGTGAGTGTGTCCACCCCGGTGAGTGTGTCCACCCCGGTGAGTGTGTCCTCCACCCCGGTGAGTGTGTCCTCGACCCCGGTGAGTGTGTCCTCGACCCCGGTGAGTGTGTCCTCGACCCCAGTGAGTGTGTCCTAGTCCTCAGACCCGTCCTCGATCCCTGTGAGTGTGTCCTCGTCCTCAGACCCGTCATCGACCCCGGTGAGTGTGTCATCGTCCTCAGACCCGTCATCGACCCCGGTGAGTGTGTCCTCGACCCCGGTGAGTGTGTCCTCGACCCCGGTGAGTGTGTCCTCGACCCCGGTGAGTGTGTCCTCCACCCCAGTGAGTGTGTCCTCGACCCCGGTGAGTGTGTCCCCGACCCCGGTGAGTGTGTCCCCGACCCCGGTGAGTGTGTCCCCGACCCCGGTGAGTGTGTCCCCGACCCCGGTGAGTGTGTCCCCGACCCCGGTGAGTGTGTCCTCGACCCCGGTGAGTGTGTCCTCGACCCCGGTGAGTGTGTCCTCGACCCCGGTGAGTGTGTCCTCGACCCCGGTGAGTGTGTCCTCGACCCTGGTGAGTGTGTCCTCGACCCCGGTGAGTGTGTCCTCGACCCCGGTGAGTGTGTCCTCGACCCCGGTGAGTGTGTCCTCGACCCCGGTGAGTGTGTCCTCGACCCCGGTGAGTGTGTCCTCGACCCCGGTGAGTGTGTCCCCGACCCCGGTGAGTGTGTCCCCGACCCCGGTGAGTGTGTCCCCGACCCCGGTGAGTGTGTCCCCGACCCCGGTGAGTGTGTCCCCGACCCCGGTGAGTGTGTCCCCGACCCCGGTGAGTGTGTCCCCGACCCCGGTGAGTGTGTCCCCGACCCCGGTGAGTGTGTCCCCGACCCCGGTGAGTGTGTCCTCGACCCCGGTGAGTGTGTCCTCGACCCCGGTGAGTGTGTCCTCGACCCCGGTGAGTGTGTCCTCGACCCCGGTGAGTGTGTCCTCGACCCCGGTGAGTGTGTCCTCGACCCCGGTGAGTGTGTCCTCGACCCCGGTGAGTGTGTCCTCGACCCCGGTGAGTGTGTCCTCGACCCCGGTGAGTGTGTCCTCCACCCCGGTGAGTGTGTCCTCCACCCCGGTGAGTGTGTCCTCCTCCACGGTGAGTGTGTCCCCGACCCCGGTGAGTGTGTCCTCGAACCCGGTGAGTGTGTCCTCCACCCCGGTGAGTGTGTCCTCGACCCTGGTGTGTCCTCCACCCCGGTGAGTGTGTCCTCGACCCCGGTGAGTGTGTCCTCCACCCCGGTGAGTGTGTCCCCGACCCTGGTGAGTGTGTCCTCGACCCTGGTGTGTCCTCCACCCCGGTGAGTGTGTCCTCCACCCCGGTGAGTGTGTCCTCCACCCCGGTGAGTGTCCTCCACCCCGGTGAGTGTGTCCTCCACCCCGGTGAGTGTGTCCTCCACCCCGGTGAGTGTGTCCTCCACCCCGGTGAGTGTGTCCTCCACCCCGGTGAGTGTGTCCTCCACCCCGGTGAGTGTGTCCTCCACCCCGGTGAGTGTGTCCCCCACCCCGGTGAGTGTGTCCCCCACCCCGGTGAGTGTGTCCCCCACCCCGGTGAGTGTGTCCCCCACCCCGGTGAGTGTGTCCCCCACCCCGGTGAGTGTGTCCTCCACCCCGGTGAGTGTGTCCCCCACCCCGGTGAGTGTGTCCCCCACCCCGGTGAGTGTGTCCCCCACCCCGGTGAGTGTGTCCCCCACCCCGGTGAGTGTGTCCCCCACCCCGGTGAGTGTGTCCCCCACCCCGGTGAGTGTGTCCCCCACCCCGGTGAGTGTCCCCCACCCCGGTGAGTGTGTCCACCACCCCGGTGAGTGTGTCCCCCACCCCGGTGAGTGTGTCCCCCACCCCGGTGAGTGTGTCCCCCACCCCGGTGAGTGTGTCCCCCACCCCGGTGAGTGTGTCCCCCACCCCGGTGAGTGTGTCCCCCACCCCGGTGAGTGTGTCCCCCACCCCGGTGAGTGTGTCCCCCACCCCGGTGAGTGTGTCCCCCACCCCGGTGAGTGTGTCCCCCACCCCGGTGAGTGTGTCCCCCACCCCGGCGAGTGTGTCCCCCACCCCGGTGAGTGTGTCCCCCACCCCGGCGAGTGTGTCCCCCACCCCGGCGAGTGTGTCCCCCACCCCGGCGAGTGTGTCCCCCACCCCGGCGAGTGTGTCCCCCACCCCGGTGAGTGTGTCCCCCACCCCGGTGAGTGTGTCCCCCACCCCGGTGAGTGTGTCCTCCACCCCGGTGAGTGTGTCCTCCACCCCGGTGAGTGTGTCCTCCTCCCCGGTGAGTGTGTCCCCCACCCCGGTGAGTGTGTCCTCCACCCCGGTGAGTGTGTCCTCCACCCCGGTGAGTGTGTCCTCCACCCCGGTGAGTGTGTCCTCCACCCCGGTGAGTGTGTCCTCCACCCCGGTGAGTGTCCCCCCCACCCCGGGGCTAAATCCAAAGCAAAACCCACTGCCAGTATTGGACCTATTCGTATTAGTGAAGGTTCATACACTGAGGATGACAGAAATTAGCGAAATCCAAAAAAGCAGTATGAGGACATGTTTAGCACCCCGATACTCAGCATGAAAGTGGAGGATCCGGACAACTTCTTTATGCGTGATATCCAAACACCTGTAAATATAACTGATATCAACACGAGCGTGACAGATTTTGAATGAGAAATTGACAATATGCCCATGCACTCAGCCCTGGGGCCAGACTCATGGAATTCAATATTTATAAAGAAATGCAAAGTGCCAGTAGCACAGGCACTCAGTATAGTGTGGGGGAAGAGCTTGGACACGGGGGAGATACCAGATGCGTTTAAAGCAACAGATATAGCCCCTCTACACAAGGGAGGTAGCAAAGCATTGGCAAAGAATTATAGACCAGTTGCACTAACGTCCCACATAATAAAAGTATTTGAGAGAGTGATGAGGAGTCAGGTCACTATCTAGTGACCTGACTCTATCGGTCATGGAGACCAATGACCTCCACAATCCAGGCCAACACGGATTTAGAGCAGGAAGATCATGCCTCTCACAGGTACTTGACTACTATGACAAAATCATTTAGGCATTAGAAGAAAAACAGAATGCAGGTGTTGTATACACAGACTTTGCAAAGGCATTCGACAAATGGGACCATGGAGTGATTGCACACAAAATGAGGTCAATGGGTATAACTGGTAAAGTAGGACGCTGGATACTCAATTTCCAAAGGGTAGCAGTCAATCAAATAAAATAGAGTCCGAGTGCAGTGAAAAGCTCTGTACCTCATGGTACATTCCTTGCACCACTGCTGTTCCTTATTCTCATATCAGATACAGACAAAAATACATGTCACAGCTTCGTGTTATCCTTTGCAGATGACACAAAAATCAGCATGAAAATTACCTCGGCTGAAGACACTGAAAAACTACAAACAAATATTAACAAAGTTTTCGACTGGGCATCAGAAAATAACATGATGTTTAACAGTTATAAATTCCGGGTACTCGGGTACAGTAAAAATGAAGACCTTAAACATAGCACAGGGTACAAAACACAATCATATCTGCCCATAGTAGGAAAACAGCATGTAAACGATTTGGGAATAATGATGTCCGACGATCTAACGTTTAAGGAGCATAACCAAGCAAATATTGCGTCAGCCAGAAAAATGATAGGATGGATTACGAGAACTTTCAAATCCAGGGATCCTATCACAATGGTTGTACTCTTCAAGTCACTGATGTTGTCCTGTCTCGAGTACTGCTCAGTACTCACTTCCCCCTTCAGAGCAGGAGAGATTGCTGAAATAGAGGGAATACAGAGAACATATACGGCACGCATAGACGAGATAAAACACCTAAATTATTGGGATCGTCTCAAAGCTCTCCAAATGTACTCACTAGAAAGAAGACGAGAGAGATACCAAATAATATACACATGGAAAATACTCGAGGGCCAAGTCCCAAATCTGCACAGTAAAATAACAACGTACTGGAGTGAACGATATGGAAGAAAATGCAGAATAGAACCAGTGAAGAGCAGAGGTGCCATAGGCACAATCAGAGAACACTGTATAAACATCAGAGGTCCGCGGTTGTTCAACACTCTCCCAGCGAGCATAAGAAATATTGCCGGAACAACCGTGGACATCTTCAAGAGAAAACTAGATAGGTAAGCAACAGCCTACCTTTGTTGAACGAAAAAGTCTATAATTTACCTTATCATTTAATCAATGTGCTTGCTGTTAGCAGCAATTGCCTGGCGGACCTGAGGGTTGCACCTGAGGGTTGCACCTGAGGGTTGCACCTGAGGGTTGCACCTGAGGGTTGCACCTGAGGGTTGCACCTGAGGGTTGCACCTGAGGGTTGCACCTGAGGGTTGCACCTGAGGGGTGAGGGGTGAGGGGAGCCTCTTCTAACACCTGGCTTGCACTCCGCTTATACTTGTGTTATGACCAATATAATAATTAAATAAGGTGATTAATATGTTGTGTTGCCTGCAGGTGACGATAGTACGGGGATGCTTGTGATGGGCGGCGTGGGCGGCGTGGGCGTGTTCCTCATCACCACCCAGGACGTGAGTGTGGGCCAGGAGCTGATGTTCTGGGCCCACGACCCCACCCTCGCCTGGTCCCGCAAGAAGATGGAGAAAACCAGTAAGTGTTGGTGTTGTTGGTGTTGTGTGTTGGTGTTGTTGGTGCTGTGTGTTGGTGTGGTGTTGGTGTTGTTGGTGCTGTGTGTTGGTGTTGTTGGTGCTGTGTGTTGGTGTGGTGTTGGTGGTGTGTTGGTGGTGTGTGTGGTGTGTTGGTGTGGTGTTGGTGGTGTGTGTGTGTGGGTGTGTGGTGTGGTGTTGTGTGTGGTGTTGGTGGTGTGTGTGGTGTTGGTGGTGTGTGTGGTGTTGGTGGTGTGTTGGTGTTGGTGGTGGTGTTGGTGTTGGTGGTGTGTTGGTGTTGGTGGTGTGTTGGTGGTGTGTGTGGTGTGTTGGTGTGTGGTGGTGTGTTGGTGGTGTGGTGGTGTGGTGGTGTGTGTGTGTGTGTTGGTGTTGTTGGTGGTGTGTGGTGGTGGTGGTGGGTGGTGGTGGTGTGTGTGTGTGTGGTTGGTGTTGGTGGTGTTGTGGTGTTGGTGGTGTGTGTGGTGGTGGTGGTGTGGTGGTGGTGGTGTGTGGTGTGTGGTGTGGTGGTGTTGGTGGTGGTGTGGTGGTGTGTGGTGTGTGTGGTGTTGGTGGTGGTGTTGGTGGTGGTGGTGGTGGTGGTGGTGTGTGGTGTTGGTGGTGGTGTGGTGTGTGGTGGTGTGTGGTGTTGGTGGTGTGTGTGGTGTGGTGTGTGGTGTGTGGTGTGTGGTGGTGTGTGGTGTTGGTGGTGTGTGGTGGTTGTGTGGTGTGTGTGGTGTTGTGTGGTGTGTGGTGTTGGTGGTGTGTGGTGTTGGTGGTGTGTGGTGTTGGTGGTGTGGTGGTGTGTGTGGTGTGGTGGTGTGTGGTGTTGGTGGTGTGTGGTGTTGTGGTGTGTGTGGTGTGTGGTGTTGGTGTGTGTGTGTGTGGTGTGGTGGTGTGTGTGGTGTGTGGTGTTGGTGGTGTGTGGTGTTGGTGTGGTGGTGTGGTGTTGTGTGTGTGTGGTGGTGGTGTGTGTGGTGTTGTGTGGTGTGTGTGGTGTTGTGTGTGGTGTGGTGTGTGTGGTGTTGGTGTTGGTGGTGTGGTGTTGGTGGTGTGTGGTGTTGGTGGTGTGTGGTGTTGTGGTGGTGTGTGGTGTTGGTGGTGTGTGGTGTGTGGTGGTGTGTGGTGTGGTGGTGTGGTGGTGTTGGTGGTGTGTGGTGGTGGTGTGTGGTGTTGGTGGTGTGTGGTGTTGGTGGTGTGTGGTGTGTGGTGGTGTGTGGTGTTGGTGGTGTGTGTGTTGGTGTGTGTGGTGGTGGTGGTGGTGTGGTGGTGGTGTGTGGTGGTGTGTGGTGTGTGGTGTGTGGTGGTGTGTGTTGGTGTGTGTGGTGGGTGGTGTTGTGGTGTGGTGTGTGGTGTTGGTGGTGTGTGGTGTTGGTGGTGTGTGGTGTTGGTGTGTGTGTTGGTGTGGTGGTGTGTGGTGTGGTGGTGTGTGGTGTTGGTGGTGTGTGGTGTTGGTGGTGTGTGGTGTTGGTGTGTGGTGTGGTGGTGTGTGGTGGTGTGGTGTTGTGGTGTGTGGTGTTGGTGGTGTGTGGTGTTGTGTGGTGTGTGGTGTTGTGTGGTGTGTGTGGTGTGGTGGTGGTGGTGTGTGGTGTTGGTGGTGTGTGGTGTTGTGGTGTGGTGTGGGTGTGTGGTGGTGTGTGGTGTTGGTGGTGTGTGGTGTGTGGTGGTGTGTGGTGTTGGTGGTGTGGTGGTGGTGTGTGGTGTTGGTGGTGTGGTGGTGTGTGGTGGTGTGTGGTGGTGTGTGGTGTTGGTGGTGTTGGTGGTGTGGTGTTGGTGGTGTGTGTGTGTTGGTGGTGTGTGGTGTGGTGTGGTGGTGGTGTGGTGGTGTGTGGTGTGTGGTGTTGGTGGTGTGTTGTGGTGTGTGGTGTTGGTGGTGTGTGGTGTTGGTGGTGTGTGGTGTTGGTGGTGGTGGTGGTGGTGGTGTGTGGTGGTGGTGGTGGTGTGTGTGGTGTTGGTGGTGTTGGTGGTGTGTGGTGTTGGTGGTGTGGTGGTGGTGTGGGTGGTGGTGTGGTGTGTGGTGTTGTGTGTTGGTGTGTTGTGGTGGTGGTGGTGGTGTTGTGTGGTGTGTGGTGGTGTGTGGTGTTGGTGTGTGTGGTGTTGGAGGTGTGGTGGTGGTGGTGTGTGGTGTGTGTGGTGGTGTGTGTGGTGTGGTGTGGTGTTGGTGTGTGGTGGTGTTGTGTGTTGTGTGTGGTGGTGTTGTGGTGTGGTGTGTGTTGGTGGTGTGTGGTGTGGTGGTGGTGTTGGTGGTGTGTGGTGTTGGTGGTGTGTGGTGTTGGTGGTGTGTGGTGTGTGGTGTGGTGGTGTGGTGGTGTGTGGTGTGTGTGGTGTGTGGTGTGTGGTGTGGTGTTGGTGGTGTGTGGTGTTGGGGTGTGTGGTGTTGGTGGTGTGTGGTGTGTGTGGTGTTGGGGTGTGTGGTGTTGGGGTGTGTGGTGTTGGTGTGTGTGGTGTTGGGGGTGTGTGTGTGGTTGGTGTTGTGTGGTGTGTGGTGGTGTGTGGTGTTGGTGTGTGTGTGTGGTGGTGTTGTGGTGTGTGGTGTGTGTGGTGTGTGGTGTGGTGGTGGTGTGTGGTGTTGGTGGTGTTGGTGGTGTGTGGTGTTGGTGGTGTGTGGTGTTGGTGGTGTGTGGTGTTGGTGGTGTGTGGTGGTGTGTTGGTGGTGTTGGTGGTGTGTGGTGTTGGTGGTGTGTGGTGTTGGTGGTGTGTGGTGTGGTGTGTGTGTGGTGTGGTGTGTGGTGTTGGTGGTGGTGTGTGGTGTGTGTGTGTGGTGGTGGTGTGTGGTGTTGGTGGTGTGTGTGGTGTGTGGTGGTGTGTGGTGTGTGGTGTGGTGTGTGGTGTTGGTGGTGTGTGGTGTTGGTGGTGTTGGTGGTGTGTGGTGTGTGGTGTTGGTGGTGTGTGGTGTTGGTGGTGTTGGTGGTGTGTGGTGTTGGTGGTGCATATGTCAGGTAGTCACAGAGGTTAACACTGTAGGGTGTAGCCAGTAAGTGGGCGGGTGACCGCTCTGGCAGGCTTGCTGTCCCCGGCACAGGGAACGCCACCAGACCGGGAGTCCCGCATGGATGCAGGTAAGTCCTTATGCACGTGCGTGCGGGCGTGCGGGCGTGCTTGCCGCCTCCCCTGAGTAAACATCTTTCCGTTGCTTTTAAGAAATTAAAAATGCTAGAACAGTGGTGGCGCCATTACCAGTGGTGGGGGGGGGGGACCCGCGGGGCACAAATGTTGTTGTTAATGTTTTGAGGAATGATCAGCCCCCGAGGTGGCAACACTCTCTCTTATTGGAGGGTCCCGAGGTGTGGGCCACACCTGCTGGCACACCTGCTGGCCCAGCTGGCACACCTGACACACACCTGCTGCACCAGCTGGCACTCTTGCTGGCACACCTGCTGCACCAGCTGGCACACCTGTTGGCACACCTGCTGGCACACCTGCTGCACCAGCTGGGGACGGCGACGCAGCAGGTGTGGTCAACCACCTCATGTGGAGAGTGCAGCCGCTTCTTCACAACCTTACGGTATTAACGACTGAACTAAGTGGTTCGGTTACAATCCGTAGGCTTAACAAACGTCCTCCAGTTTTGTTAAAAACTTATATTTAACGCAAATTTGTTAAATGTAAGTCACCAGAGTAAAAGGGAGGAAACTATCAAGGGGAAAGCGCCAAGCCATTACGACTATACAGCACTGGGAAGGGGTCAGGATAAGGATTTGGGATGGGCCGGGGGGAAGGAATGGTGCCCAACCACTTGGACGGTCGGGGATTGAACGCCGACCTGCATGACGCAAGACCGTCGCTCTACCGTCCAGCCCAAGTGGTTGTTGGTATTGTCCAGTAGTGGTGGTATTGTCCAGGTGTGGTGGTGGTATGGTCCAGGTGTGGTGGTGGTATTGTCCAGGTGTGGTGGTGTTGTCCAGGTGTGGTGGTGTTGTCCAGGTGTGGTGGTATTGTTCAGGTGTGGTGGTATTGTCCAGATGTGGTGGTGTTTTCCAGGTGTGGTGGTGTTGTCCAGGTGTGGTGGTGGTATTGTTCAGGTGTGGTGGTGTTGTCCAGGTGTGGTGGTATTGTCCAGGTGTGGTGGTGTTTTCCAGGTGTGGTGGTGTTGTCCAGGTGTGGTGGTGTTGTCCAGATGTGGTGGTGTTTTCCAGGTGTGGTGGTGTTGTCCAGGTGTGGTGGTGTTGTCCAGGTGTGGTGGTGGTATTCTTCAGGTGTGGTGGTGCTGTCCAGGTGTGGTGGTATTGTCCAGGTGTGGTGGTGTTTTCCAGGTGTGGTGTTGTCCAGGTGTGGTGGTGTTGTCCAGGTGTGGTGGTGTTCTCCAGGTATGCTGGTATTGTCCAGGTGTGGTGGTGTTGTCCAGGTGTGGTGGTGTTGTCCAGGTGTGGTGGTGTTGTCCAGGTGTGGTGGTGTTGTCCAGGTGTGGTGGTGTTGTCCAGGTGTGCTGGTATTGTACAGGTGTGGTGGTATTGTCCAGGTGTGGTGGTATTGTCCAGGTGTGCTGGTATTGTCCAGGTGTGGTGGTATTGTCCAGGTGTGGTGGTGTTGTCCAGGTGTGGTGGTATTGTCCAGGTGTGGTGGTATTGTCCAGGTGTGGTGGTATTGTCCAGGTGTGGTGGTGTTGTCCAGGTGTGGTGGTATTGTCCAGGTGTGCTGGTATTGTACAGGTGTGGTGGTATTGTCCAGGTGTGGTGGTATTGTCCAGGTGTGGTGGTGTTGTCCAGGTGTGGTGGTATTGTCCAGGTGTGGTGGTGTTGTCCAGGTGTGGTGGTGTTCTCCAGGTATGCTGGTATTGTCCAGGTGTGGTGGTGTTGTCCAGGTGTGGTGGTGTTGTCCAGGTGTGGTGGTGTTGTCCAGGTGTGGTGGTGTTGTCCAGGTGTGGTGGTGTTGTCCAGGTGTGCTGGTATTGTACAGGTGTGGTGGTATTGTCCAGGTGTGGTGGTATTGTCCAGGTGTGCTGGTATTGTCCAGGTGTGGTGTGTTGGTGGTGTTGTCCAGGTGTGGTGGTGTTGTCCAGGTGTGGTG